GCCCTAACTGTTCCCCTACAAAAAAAAAAAATGCACTGCTCGCCACTGGCGGTAGCCAGTGAGATGCCGTGATTTGAACCCAAGACCTTCTTTATGCAAAGTAGATGTAAGGCCACCAATCAAAAATCCTGCTTTGAATGTATTTTGGAAGTGTAAGGAAATGGAAGGCACTTTCTACCACATGTGGTGGAGGTGCGAAATAACAAAAGCATTCTGGGAAATGATTTATAACGAGTTGAAAAAAATGTTTAAAATAACTTTTGTGGAAAAACCAGAAGCTTTTTTACTAGGGATTTCCAGTGCAGAGATACCAAAGGAGCAGAAACTGTTATGTACTAAAGTTCTCACCCTGGGCCAGCAGGGGGATACTGTAGATAGTTTTCACTCAGGTCCACATATGCAAATAAGGGATTGAAAGTGACGTTCAGTGATTGGATAGTTACAGAAAGTGGTTACTGTTGCGTTGTAGTAGAGCTCTATATAAGCAGGCTGGCTGAACCCTTCAGTTCAGTTCTGGCCTGTGAATAAACAAGAGCTGTTTGAAGAATCGCTGTGTTGTCTGATATGTTCACCCACAACTTAACAGAAACGACTATGTATGTACGTGACGACAACAGCGCGGAGACTACTGGACCAGAGATGGAAAGAAGATAAAGTTCCGACCAGAGAGGGATGACTGATGAAGATGATGGACTACGCCAAAATGGGGGAAATGACTGGGAAAATCAGAAACCAGGCTAGAGAGAAACTTTCATAAGGGATGGGAGAAATTTACAAATTATCTAAGAGAACACTGTAAACAACTAGAAGCTCTGGCAGGATTTGAGTAAGGCTTGTAACGTACTATAAGGTAAAAATGGATTACAGTGGATGCTCGGGTTGCGATTCAGTGCTTTTGCGCATGCGCAAAGCGCGATTTAGTGCTTCTGCGCATGCGCGACCGCCGAAACCCAGAAGTAACCCGTTCCGGTACTTCCGGGTTTTGGCGGTCCGCAACCCGAAAACACGCAACCTGAAGCGTCTGTAACCCGAGGTATGACTGTATTTTAAGAAAAATGGAGAAAATATATGATGCAGTTGAAAAAGACTGAAAATGGAAACCATGGAAGGGTGGAAGGAAGTCTAAGGTTTCAGGGAACATTTAGATGTTGATGATTATGTCTAATGTTTGAATTTAAACGTGTAGTGTAAAACTGAAAAGAAAAAAAAATTCTTAAAAGGCAGCAATCCAAGCTGAGGCTCCAAGACTTTGGCCACCTCATGAGAAGAGAAGACTCCCTGGAAAAGACCCTGATGTTGGGAAAGATGGAGGGCACAAGGAGAAGGGGCCGACAGAGGACCAGATGGTTGGACAGTGTTCTTGAAGCTACCAGCATGAGTTTGACCAAACTGCGGGAGGCAGGGGAAGACAGGAGGGCCTGGCGTGCTCTGGTCCAGGGGGTCACGAAGAGTCGGACACGACTAAACGACTAAACAACAGCAGACAACAACAGACTAAATTACCAGATCAGGGCCACGGCCGAAAAAGCCCTGGTTCTGGTTGAGGCCAGCCTAACCTCCCTGTGGCCCGGGACCTCCAGGATGTTTTTGTTTGAAGACCGTAAGGTCCTCCGTGGGACATACCAGGAGAGGTGGTCCCGTAGGTACGAGGGTCCTAGTCCGTATAGGGCTTTAAAGGTTAAAACCAGCACCTTAAACTGGATCCTGTACTCCACCAGGAGCCAGTGCAGCTGGTATAGCGCCGGGTGAATGTGATCTCGCAGCGAGGACCCCTGTAAGGAGTCTTGCCGCGGCATTTTGCACCCGCTGGAGTTTCTGGGTCAATCTCACGGGCAGCCCTGCGTAGAGTGAGTTACAATAATCTTCTCTCCAGCTCAAGGGTTCTCGGCATAGCTGTCAACTTTTCCCTTTTCTTGCAAGGAATTCTATTCGGAATAAGGGAACTTCCCTTTAAAAAAGGGAAACGTTGACAGCTCCTCCTCCATCCAATTTTGGCTTCAGGCTCACATTGCTCCTAGGCCTTCTCTCCAGGAAAGGCAAATCCCACTTCTGACACCAATGTTGCATAACTCGGGCACCATCCCCGCTCTCTGCCGAGCGGTTGCAAGATTCCAGGGAGCTTCCAGGCACTCACTCCGGTTTTGTGCTCCTTTGGGAGAACTGAAGACGGAGCAGAGACTGTGGTAGCTTTAAGAAATGATTTATTCTCCTTCAGTCTGCATGGAGGGAGCTCAGATCTTACAGCACGGTCATTCCAAGAAGCGTTGTTCCCCACATAGCAGAGCAGCCCTGGAGTCCAAGGCATCTCTCCCGATCATAGCTGTCAACGTTTCCCTTTTTTTAAGGGAAATTCCCTTATTCCCAATAGGATTCCTCGCAAGAAAAGGGAAAAGTTGACAGCTATGCTCCCGATCACGAGAGTTGGGATGGGACAGATAATCCCAGCACCTCCCGCAGGTAAGAAGGGTGTGTGTAGATACTAAGTTATTGTTACAAAGGGAAAATATACTGTATTTTTCCGTCTATAAGACGCCCCCCCATGTATAAGGTGCCCCCTATTTTGGGGGACTCAGATTTAAGAAAATGGGGGAAGATGTATCCGTGTATAAGACACCCCCTAATTTTTAACATTATTTTTAAGGGGGAAAAACCTTGTCTTAGAAAAATATGGTATATCCATTGCCACACCCACTTTTACCTCTAGTCCCACTTGCCTGCGATTGGCGTGTGGCCCTCAGAAGATGGCACAGCAACAAACCCGGCCCTCAGGCTGAGTGACGGTTCCCCACTCTTGGCTCAATGTATAGATTCAGGTCAGACCAAATAAAACGTCCACACGAAGAGAGACATTGCGCAGAGCCAACATAAACCCGAGACGCCGACTGCATTATTAGAAGAACTGAGGTTTATTTGTGCCTTGTTAAGACGGAGACCATTCCACAGAATCCACCGAAGAGGTAGTCACCAAAGGATATGCTCCTTGTCTCCTACGACTGGGTTGTCTCTGAAGGATGCCCATCTTCAGGGGAAAAGTCTCAGACCAGCAGCCATCACGCAACAACAATACAGGGCCTTTTCTGTGGTGGCTCCCCATTTGTGAAACGCTCTCCCCAGGGAGGTCTCGCCTGGCTCCATCATTACAAATCTCCTTTTGAAACCTGGGCTTTTGGGCGTGAACTCGAAAAGTTTCAAGGATCTGTGGTGGTGAGGGATGTGTCAGACCTATATTTTATCTGCACAGTTGTGTTTCTAGGTTTTTACTTGGTTGTTCTACTTGGTTCTAATGTTTTGTCATTTTTGCAAACTATTATTTATTAAATTTATCGGTCGCTTTTTGTTTTTTACCAAGGTAACTCAAAGCAACTCGCAACAGGTAAACGTGTGGATGCATACATTAAAGCCAGAATGAAAGAAAACAAAAGTCAGTGTGCAGATCAAGGGAAATCAGAGTACCACATAAATCTGCCTTGATCAAACCCTGCCTGGAATACTGTGTCCAGTTCTGGGCACCTTAGTTTAAGAAGGATATCGACAAGCTGGAAGGTGTGCAGAGGGGAAGGTGACCAAGATGATCAAGGGTCTGGAAACTGAGCCTGAGGAAGAATGGTTGAGGGAGTTGGGTATGTTTGGTCTGGAAAAGAGGAGACTGGGAAGAGATACAATGGCCATCTTCAGATATATGAAGGGACGTTACATAGAATATGGAACGAGCTTGTTTTCAGCTTGGACTACTGCAATGCGCTCTACATGGGGCTGCCTTTGAAGGTGACCTGGAAACTGCAACTAATCCAGAATGAGGCAGCGAGACTGTTGACTGGGAGCGGCCGCTGAGATCACATAACACCAGTCCTGAAAGACCTACATTGGCTCCCAGTACGTTTCCAAGCACAATTCAAAGTGTGGGTGCTGACCTTTAAAGCCCTAAACGGCCTCAGTCCTGTATACCTGAAGGAGCGTCTCCACACCCATCGTTCTGCCCGGACACTGAGGTCCAGCACTGAGGGCCTTCTGGCAGATCCCTCCCTGCGAGAAGCCAAGTTACAGGGAACCAGGCAGAGGGCCTTCTCGGTGGTGGCGCCTGCCCTGTGGAACGCCCTCCCATCAGATGTCAAGGAAATAAACAACTATCTGACTTTTAGAAGATATCTGAAGGCAGCCCTTCAGGGAGGCTTTCGATGTTTCATGCTTTATTGTGTTTTTAATATTCTGTTGTGAGCCACCCAGAGTGGCTGGGGAAACCCAGCTAGATGGGTTGGGTATAAATAATTATTATTATTATTCAGCTGCTCCAGAGGGGAGGACGCGAACAAGTGCATGGTGCTGACCTTTAAAGCCGTAAACGGCCTCAGTCCAGTATACCTGAAGGAGCGTCTCCACCTCCATCGTTCTGCCCGGACACTGAGGTCCAGCTCCGAGGGCCTTCTGGCGGTTCCTTCCCTGTGAGAAGCCAAGTTACAGGGAACCAGGCAGAGGGCCTTCTCAGTAGTGGCGCCCGCCCTGTGGAACGCCCTCCCACCAGATGCCAAAGGGAACAACAACTACCTGACATTTAGAAGACATCTGAAGGCAGCCCTGTTCAGGGAAGTTTTTAATGTGTGATATTTTAATGTATTTTTAATCTTTGTAGGAAGCCGCCCAGAGTGGCTGGGGAAACCCAGCCAGATGGGCAGGGTACAAATAATAAATTATTATTATTATTATTATTATTATTGGAAATGATGGTGCCAGGAGAGCCTTCCCTCCGCAGCATCCTTGACGCTGGGATTTGAGAGTCCATCAACCTCTCAAGGGTCCCAACGATCCGCGTTTCTGACCCACGAAAATGAACTCTGCTTCAAAGTTTGCACCCATCGTGAATCAAGGACGACAGCCTCTCCGCTCGCACCCGCAATTGGAGCCTTGTGATTGGAGACCCTGCAAATTTGATGCAGGGATGACTGGCGGTTGTGCAAAATATCTTGCGTGCTCAGGAAAAAAAAGCAACTCAACACAAACCATTGTTAGGGGAACAGCCGGACAACGCGTCAGACTTTAAACTACGGAAGTCTCATAACTAGTATTTACACCCGTTAAAGCCGTTTTCTTTCTGTTTTTTGTATGAGATTAGCAGGACCGCCAGAGCTTCCTCGCACGAGATTGACTCGGCGCTGTCCTCCAGCGGCTGCTCTGCGCTAATTATCACTGGTAGGAGAGGAATCTGATTAATCTGGCGGGGATGTGGAGCTGGGCGATCTTCTCCAAGGCTGGCTGACCGACGGCGCGTCTCAGGCTGAGTCGGCAGAGCTGGGACAAACTCAGAGGCGTTTCTGGAGGGGGAATGAGGGAAGAAATCGCAATCGTCACTTCAGATTGGGACAAATAAGATCGGTCAATTCTGAGTTCTCTCTGCTTCTCATTCTTCCACTCTTAAATTCCATTCTCCACATTTCTGCAGCAATCTGCGCTTTTTTTAAAGCAGAAATAAACCTGACTGAAATCATTCCGCATTTTAGTGCAAATTTCTCGCAAGAAACACATTTTCGACTGCAGCTTTGACTAATGCATAGATTCCTGCAAGCAATTCCTCCTTTTTTGTACTTTTTATGCTCTCCCCCTACCCCACTGAACGCATGCATATTTTGTAAAAGTTGTTTTGGCTGGAGAACTGCAACACAAAATTCAGATATACAGTGGACGCATCGGGTTGCGAACGTGATCCGTGCGGGAGGCATGTTCACAACCCGCAGCATCCGCAACCCGCAGCACCGCGTCTGTGCACATGAAGGTTGTGATTTGGCGTTTCTGCGCATGCGCAAAGAGCGATTTAGCGCTTCTGCGCATGCGCAACCACCAAAAACCAGAAGTAACCCATTCTGGTACTTCTGGGTAACCTGAAAAAATGCAACCTGAAGGTATAACCTGAGGTATGACTATATTAAAGGACCCCTGACTATTAGGTCCAGTCGCGGACGACTCATCTTGCGGCGCTCATCTCGCTTTACTGGCCGAGGGAGCTGGCATACAGCTTCCAGGTCATGTGGCCAGCATGACTAAGCCACTTCTGGCAAACCAGAGCAGCGCACGGAAACACCGTTTACCTTCCCGCTGGAGTGGTACCTATTTATCTACTTGCACTTTATGTGCTTTCAAACTGCTAGGTGGGCAGGAGCAGGGACCGAGCAACGGGAGCTCACCCCGTCGCGGGGATTTGAACCGCCGACCTTCTGATCAGCAAGTCCTAGGCTCTGTGGTTTAACCCACAGCGCCACCCGCGTTCCTTATGACTGTATTAGCAGTGCGTCTTCAAGAAACAGCCACATGGGGCACACAACCTAGGAAGGCATCGTCAATGCAAGATGACAAAGGTGCCGCAACCCGCCAGCAGGGGGCAGCGACGAGACCCCACTCACTTTCGAAATGCTCAAAGCACTTGGCGGCCGGGCTGCTCCTCCAGGCGTAGTCGGAAGGCTTCTTCCCCCGGTTGTCCCTGGCGTAAACGTTCCCCCCGAACTCCACCAGCATCTCCACCAGATCGGCATTCTTCACCTTGGCGGCGTGGTGGAGGGCCGTCTCGTGCAGCTTGGCCGCGTTGACGTTGGCCCCTGGCGACGACAAAGCGGTCAGGTTGGAGGAAGAGTTGCTCGCGGCCTCTGGCGCAGAACTCGAACCTTTGCCTAAAGCAGCGATTCTCAACCTGCGGGTCCCCAGATGTTGTTGGACTACAACTCCCATCATCCCTGAGCTCTGGCCTTGCTAGCCAGGGGTGATGGGAGTTGTAGTCCAACAACATCCAGGGACCCACGGGTTGAGAACCGCTGGCCTAAAGCATGGGTAGGAAACTAAGGCCCGGGGGCAAGATCCGGCCCAATTGCCTTCTAAATCCAGCCCGCAGACGGTCCAGGAACCAGCATCTTTTTACAAGAGTAGAATGTGTCCTTTTATTTAAAATGCATCTCTGGGTTATTTGTGGGGCCTGCCTGGTGTTTTTACATGAGCAGAATGTGTCCTTTTATTTTAAATGCATCTCTGGGTTATTTATGGGGCCTGCCTGGGGTTTTTACACAAGTAGAATGTGTGCTTTTGTTTAAAATGCATCTCTGGGTTATTTGTGGGGCATGTCTGTGGCCACAGCATGAACCACAAAAATCATACATCCACTGTTTTGTCCAGAATATTTTTTTTCTTGTTTTCCTCCTCTAAAAACTAGGTGCGTCTTATGGTCAGGTGCGGCTTAAGGAGCAAAAAATACGGCAGCCTGATTCTCGTCAGAAACAGGAGACGTGTGTCTTGAAACAGACAAGGAGATCACTCCGGTCAGTGACAAAATCAAGACTATTCGCTGAGGAACTGGTGGCGGCAGTTCAAGCAGCAGCAATATCGCAGCTCTCCAATTTGACGGCAGAAATGTGGCGATACAGGGGGTGCACAGAAATGGGGGGGTTTTTTTGGTCTAGGGTGGGGAACTCTCACCATCACTGACCTCGGCTGACCCCCCAACAGCACCCCGAAGCAAATAATCATCCACAGCAGGGTTTCCCAAACATGTTTCTCCAGCTGTTTTGGGACTACAACTCCCATCATCCCTAAGCTAGTAGGGCCAGTGGTCAGGGATGATGGGAGTTGTAGTCCAAAAACAGATGAGACCCAAATTTGGGAAACTCGTGTCTACAGCGCATAAAGGGGCACAGGCTTTGGAGTGTAAAACAGGCCAAAAAAGAATGGCGAAGTGAATTACAAGAAATACCAACAGTGGAGGAATGGCAAATGAAGATGATGGATTTTCTGGAGCTGGCCGACCTAACCGGTAGAACCCGCGAACAGGAGGAGGACTACCAAGAAGAATGGAAGAAATTTAAGGACTATTTAGCAAAATATTCTAGGATAACATAAATAGAGTCATTTGTGAGTACCATATTGGCATAGGGGTTAAATGTTTTAAATTTAATAATACCATGGATACGAGTGAATAGTGTAAGAAAGAAAGATGTTAAATTGATTTGAAATTAGTAATGGAAAACTGCTACAATGAGTTATATGGAAACGCAGCTAGAGGGATTCGAGGAAGTCATTTAACAATGGTAAGAAAAATATTATAATGATTAGGATAAATGTTTGTATGTTTGTTTTTTATATAGTAATGTTTTTTTCTTTTTTGTTGTTTATGTTTGTAAGAAATTTGGAAAACCAATAAAATAATAATAAAAATAATAAAAATAAAAGAATGGCGAAGTGAAAGTGTTAAAATCAGATGTGGAAAATATGGAAACAACGAGAAGAGTTAGGACTGAGATGTGGAGATATGCTTCAGAGGTCCAGACCGTGGGGAGCTCCGAAAAATTAATAATTATAATTTGGATTATAATTTGGTCTTTTTTAAATTTTAGTTTTTTTTAATTTTAATTGGATTGTTATGTTTGGATAGATTAATTGGATGTTCCTATTGGAAAATTAATAAAAATGATTTAAAGAAAACAAACAAAAAGAATGGCGAAGTGGGGGCTGGCCCACGTTCCCCCCCCCCCACACACACACCTGCGTTGAGCAGTATCTTCACGCAGTCCAGATGCTCTCTAGCGCAGGCCACGTGCAAAGGGGTCCCAAAGTGACAATCGTGAGCTTCCAGGTTGGCACCGACATCAATAAGGAGACGCACGCACTCAGCGCTGCCTTTAAAAAAAAGAACAGAGGACGGCAACTCAATGGAAAACTTTGAAGGTTGTCAGGAACAACACCCCACAAGTTGAACTCTGCCCAAGCTGTTGTTGCCTTACGAAACGATACGATCATGTTTATTGTCATTGTCCCATACAGAACAATGAAATTGAAAAAATCTACATCAGACATTCAAAAACCAACAAGCTTGCTATCTCAGCCTGGTTAACCACCTAAAAACTCTGATACCCCATAATTAAATACAATATACTCCCACAGAGACTGCCTTAAAGGTAAAGGGACCCCTGACCATCAGGTCCAGTCATGGCTGACTCTAGGGTTGCGGCGCTCATCTCGCTTTATTGGCTGAGGGAGCCGGCGTACAGCTTCTGGGTCATGTGGCCAGCATGACTAAGCCGCTTCTGGCGAACCAGAGCAGCGCACAGAAACGCCGTTTACCTTCCCTCCAGAGCGGTACCTATTTTAATTTATTTTAATCAACTTGTTTTTATTATTGGTTGTTAGCCCCCCTGAGCCCGGTCTTGGCTGGAGAGGACGGGGTATAAAAATATATTATTATTATTATTATTATTATTATTATTATTATTATTATTATTATTATTAATCTACTTGCACTTTGACGTGCTTTCGAACTGCTAGGTTGGCAGGAGCAGGGACCAAGCAATGGGAGCTCACCCCATCACGGGGATTTGAACCGCCGACCTTCCGATCGGCAAGCCCTAGGCTCTGTGGTTTAACCCACAGCGCCACCCGGGTCCTTACACTGCGTTTAAAACCAAAATCGCCTTTGGATAAAAGCTGTTTCTCAGGCGGCTAGTCCTAGTTTTTATAACCCTGTACCTTCTTCCAGAAGGCAGAAGCTGAAAGAGATCATTTCCAGGGTGCGCACTATCCTGCGCTATCTCTGCAGCTTTCTCATGGCACCTGGAAGCATAGATTTGATCCAAGGTGGGAAGAGTGCACCCAATTATTCTCTCCGCAGTCTTTGCAACCCTGGACAGCATTGTTTTTCCCCTGACCGTGCAGCTCCCAAACCACACACACAGACCATAAGTTAATACACTCCATCCAGACCTGCTTACCATTCATGCAGGCCTCGTGGAGCGGGGAGGCCGTGTAGAGCGGAGGGTTGACTTTGGCCCCGTGCGAGAGCAACACTTTCACACAGTCAATGCTCCCAGAGGCGCAGGCATCGCACAAAGGGGTGCTGCCGTCTATGTTCCGGGCGTCCACCTGCGAGATCGTAGCAAAAATCACAGAATAGTCGAGTTGGAAGGGGAACCTCAGCGGTCATCTAGCCCAACCCCTTGCGACGCAGGAATCTTTTTGGCCCAATGTGAGGTTTGAACCCACAACCAGGGTGGATAAAAATCAATGTGTTGTTGTTTTTTTAAAAAAATGGATATTCAGGCCAATACAGTATTATTATTATTATTATTATTATTATTATTATTATTATTATTATCATTTTAAAAATTGATATTGCCCTACATCCATAGATCCCAGGGTGGTTCACAACATAAAATTACAATATGAAAAGCTAATAATAAAAATAAGAACAAATATGACCCAACGACCCCCCATTTTTGCCTGACGCCCAAAGGTGTACAGTGGTACTTTGGTTCTCAAACACCTTGGTTCTCAAACGCCAAAAACCTGGAAGAAAGTGTTCCGGTTTTTGAACGTTTCTCAGAAGCCAAACATCTGATGCGGCTGTCGGCTATTGTTTCCGGGGCGCCTGCACCAATCAGAAGCTGTGCCTTGGTTTTCAAACATTTCAGAAGTCAAACGGACTTCCGGAATGGATTAAGTTTGGTGCCTTTGTTTTTGCTATTTATCTTGCGTTTTTGTTTTTGAGGCTTTTTTGGTTAATTTGTTTTTGTGACTGTGTGGGACCCGGTTCAGCTACTGACTGATTGATTGATTGATTGATTGATCGATCGAGTGACTGCAGAAATGGATAAAGGCCCCCCATCCAAACAATGGCTATCATCAGTGCAGGTAAGAAAAAAAATATGTTATTTTTTATCATCTACAATACTGTCTTCTTTATTTTATAGTACAGTGGTACCTCGGGTTACAGACGCTTCAGGTTACAGACCCCGCTAACCCAGAAATAGTACCTTGGGTTAAGAACTTTGCTTCAGGATGAGAACAGAAATTGCGTGGCAGCAGCAGAAGGCCCCATTAGTTAAAATGGTGCTTCAGGTTAAGAACAGTTTCAGGTTAGGAATGGACCTCTGGAACAAATTAAGTTCTTAACCCGAGGTACTACTGTACAGCACATTGATTATTGCTTTCATTTTATGGATCAATGGCCTTGTTAGATAGTAAAATTAATGTTTAATTGCTGTTTTAGGGGTTGTTTTTTAAAAATCTGGAACGGATTAATCTGCTTTGCATGACTTTCTATGGGAAAGCGTGCCTTGGTTTTGGAACGCTTTAGTTTTGGAACAGACTCCCGTAACGGATTAAGTTTGAGAACCAAGGTAAAAAAGGTAAAGGGACCCGTCGTGGCCGACTCTGGGGTTGTGGCGCTCATCTCGCTTTATTGGCCGAGGGAGCCGGTGTACAGCTTCCGGGTCATGTGGCCAGCATGACTAAGCCGCTTCTGGCGAACCAGAGCAGCGCACGGAAACGCCGTTTACCTTCCCACCGGAGGGGTACCTATTTATCTACTTGCACTTTGACGTGCTTTCGAACTGCTAGGTTGGCAGGAGCAGGGACCGAGCAACGGGAGCTCACCCCGTCGCGGGGATTCGAACCGCCGACCTTCCAATCAGCAAGTCCTAGGCTCTTTGGTTTAACCCACAGCACCACCCGCGTCCCACTGGGTAATGAAAGCATCTGGTGGGGGTTCTCTGAGCTACAAACCTGGGCTCCCGCAGCTAGGAGCATTTGCACGCACTGCGTCTGTCCGCGCAAGCTGGCTTCGTGCAACGGCGTGATGGAATCGTACGTGACCAGGTTGACGCAGGCGCCGTTGGCAATGAGCTCCTGCAGCTGGAGGATCTCCCCTCTCCTGGCCGCCTCGTGAACCGGCGTCCTGTCCACCCAAAACCCTGCAAAGGCAAGGTTGTGTAAAGAAAGAATAAAATTTACAGCCTGTAATGCTTTGAAAGAGAATATGATGAAAATTATGTATAGATGGTATATTACAGGCAGTGAAGGTCCTGTGTGAGTGTCTGGAGGCGGTTGGAGCATGGATGGCGGCTAACAGATTGAGGTTGAATCCTGACAAGACAGGAGGCGGGTGGGTGTGGAGGACTCCCTGGTCCTGAATGGGGCAACTGTGCCCCTGAAGGACCAAGTGCGCATCATGGGAGTCATTTTGGACTCACAGCTGTCCATGGAGGCACAGGTCAATTCTGTGTCCAGGGCAGCTGTTTACCAGCTCCATCTGGTACGCAGGATGAGACCCTACCTGCCTGCAGACTGTCTCGCCGGACTGGTCCATGCTCTGGTTATTTCCTGCTTGGACTACTGCAATGCGCTCTACGTGGGACTACCTTTGAAGGTGACCCGGAAACTACAACTAATCCAGAATGCGGCAGCTAGACTGGTGACTGGGAGCGACCGCTGAGACCACATAACACCGGTTCTGAGAGATCTGCATTGGCTCCCAGTACGTTTCCGAGCACAATTCAAAGTGTTGGTGCTGACCTTTAAAGCCCTAAACGGCCTCGGTCCTGTATACCTGAAGGAGTGTCTCCACTCCCATCGTTCAGCCCGGACACTGAGGTCCAGCGCCGAGGGCCTTCTGGCGGTTCCCTCCCTGCGAGAAGTGAGGTTACAGGGAACCAGGCAGAGGGCCTTCTCGGTGGTGGCGCCTGCCCTGTGGAACGCCCTCCCAGCAGACGTCAAGGCAATAAACAGCTATTTTACTTTTAAAAGACAACTGAAGGCTGCCCTGTTTAGGGAAGTTTTTAATGTATGACGCTGTATTGTTTTTAATATTCGATTGGAAGCCACCCAGAGTGGCTGGGGAAACTCAGCCAGATGGGTGGGGTATAAATAATAAATTATTATATTATTATATTATTATTATTATTATTTCCTGGGAACAGGGTGTTGAAACAGCGAGGGAGCAGGGAGTGTGGCAAGAAAAGGCAGAAGCTCAAGGCTGCACGGATTCTAGGAAAACTATTTTGGTCCTTTGAAATCACGAGAGGGTCACATTTAAGGCATCATCTGGCAGTCCATACCTTGCAAACGTCCCAGTTTTCCAGGGACGGTCCCAGAATGACAGGAGCCATCCCAGTTTCTGATTTGATCCCGCAATCTCCTGCCTTTTCTTTTTTCCTCCCCTCCACTTCTTGGAGAACAATTAAAAGTGGAGTTTTGGGTGCAAAAACAGAGTCCTGTTTCTGCTGAAAATAAAATCCCTGCTCCAATGAAAGAAATGGCAAAACAGACAGACTAAGAAGGCCTTCCTGTAATTTTGAAGGAAAATCATAGAATCATAGAGTTGGAAGAGACCACAAGGGCCATCGAGTCCAACCCCCTGCCAAGCAGGAAACACCATCAGAGCACTCCTGACATATGGTTGTCAAGCCTCTGCTTAAAGACCTCCAAAGAAGGAGACTCCACCACACTCCTTGGCAGCAAATTCCACTGTCGAACAGCTCTTACTGTCAGGAAGTTCTTCCTAATGTTTAGGTGGAATCTTCTTTCTTGTAGTTTGGATCCATTGCTCCGTGTCCGCTTCTCTGGAGCAGCAGAAAACAACCTTTCTCCCTCCTCTATATGACATCCTTTTATATATTTGAACATGGCTATCCTATCACCCCTTAACCTCCTCTTCTCCAGGCTAAACATGCCCAGCTCCCTTAGCCGTTCCTCATAAGGCATTGTTTCCAGGCCTTTGACCATTTTGGTTGCCCTCCTCTGGACACGTTCCAGTTTGTCAGTGTCCCTCTTGAACTGTGGTGCCCAGAACTGGACACAGTACCCCAGGTGAGGTCTGACCAGAGCAGAATACAGTGGCACTATTACTTCCCTTGATCTAGATGCTATACTCCTATTGATGCAGCCCAGAATTGCATTGGCTTTTTTAGAAAATGTCACCAATCCACCTAAAAAAAACGAATTGCAATGCTTCCGCAGCCAGCCATTTCTTAGGAAACACAGGGAATATTTATTCCTTTATTGTAAACGGAGCCTTACGCTGTCTACTCAGAAGTAATCCCCACAGTATTCAATGGAGCTTACTCCCAGGGATCTGGGTAAAGGCTGGACAGCATTACACTGCAATAGGAAGCTTTTTTACTCAGAATTATGTCCCACTGAGTTTAATAGGATTTACTCTCTGCTGTGTTCCTGATAATTCTCAGTTTCCACCATCATTAATATATTCTGCCTTTTTCTCTGTAGTTTACAGCTACAATTTTCTTTCCTTCCATTTATCTGTTGAAGGTATTGTACATCATCCCTTCCCTTGCACATTTTAAATATATATATGTTGGACGTCGCACAGAGTGACTGGGGCAACTCAGTGAGGTGGGCAGGGTATAAATAATAAAGTATTATTATTATTATTATTATTATTATTATTATTATTATTATTATTATTGAATAGGGTGTTCCCTATTTTCGTTGGAGAAATGTTGGAGGGTATGTAAATGATGATTTAGGATATTTCTTAATTTCTCATATATGGAAGTTGATACATGGCGGAAATGTTTTTTTTAAAAAAGGAATTGTAGGAAAACTCTTGAAAATGTGTTAAAATAATGACCATTTAACACTTGGGCATATTGCCCGTAGACTAAAAAGGTGATTCCTTCCTGTGTCAGTGAACCCAAATACCCCAATAAACAGGTTTACACTGGAGCTATTGGGTGAGTTATATATAACGTGCTATTGCAAAACTAATGTTTAACATGCAAAAAAGCAAAAAATCAGTAAATGATTGATTCCTCTAGATTTTGCCTAGAAGTGAAGTGTGATTTAGGGATGCAACATACGAAACTTTGACCCTAACAGCACCCATTGGACTCACCCCATGAGGATTCTTGCTGGGTCCTTAACTCCAGGAAGGGCAAAGGGTATAAGAAAGTTAGCCAGGGAAATTCAATGTTTCCCAGCTTTGGCCGCCTATCTGGCATGGGAGAAACCCAGGCCTTGATCCCACCCAAGTTAAGCACCTGAGCAACCTGACCTACACACGTTTACTCAGAAGTAAGGACGCGGATGGTGCTGTGGGTTAAACCACAGAGCCTAGGGCTTGCTGATCAGAAGGTCGGCGGTTTGAATTCCCGTGACGGGGTGAGCTCCCGTTGCTCAGTCCCTGCTCCTGCCAACCTAGCAGTTCGAAAGCACACCAGTGCAAGTAGATAAGTAGGTACTGCTCTGGCGGGAAGGTAAACAGTGTTTCCGTGCACTGCTCTGGTTCGCCAGAAGCGGCTTAGTCATGCTGGCCACAACATGACCTGGAAGCTGTACGCCGGCTCCCTCGGCCAGTAAAGCGAGATGAGCGTCTCAACCCCAGAGTTGGTTACGACTGGACCTAATGGTCAAGGGTCCCTTTACCTTTAAGGTAGTCTCTGTGGGAGTATATTGTATTTAATTATGGGGTATCAGAGTTTTTAAGGGCTAACCAGGCTGGGATAGCTAGGATAGCAGGCTTGTTGGTTTTTGAAAGTCTGATGTAGATTTTTTTCAATTTCGTTGTTCTGTATGGGACAATGACAATAAAGATGATCGTATCATAAGCCAACAACAGCTTGGGCAGAGTTCAACTTGTGGGGTGTGATCCATGAGAGGCAGTCAAGTACAACATTCCTTGTAACGCTAGAGAAAACATGCGAGGGAATGTTTGGTCCAGCCGGTTGAAACTTCCTGTTCCTCCTGGGCTGGAGCATCCTTCCTTTTAAAGGTAAAGGTAAAGGTACCCCTGCCCGTACGGGCCAGTCTTGCCAGACTCTAGGGTTGTGCGCCCATCTCACTCTATAGGCCGGGGGCCAGCGCTGTCCGGAGACACTTCCGGGTCACGTGGCCAGCGTGACAAAGCTGCATCTGGCGAGCCAGAGCCGCACACGGAAACACTGTTTACCTTCCCGCTGGTAAGCGGTCCCTATTTATCTACTTGCACCCGGGGGTGCTTTCGAACTGCTAGGTTGGCAGACGCTGGGACCGAGCAGCGGGAGCGCACCCCGCCGCGGGGATTCAAACCGCCGACCTTTCGATTGGCAAGCCCTAGGCGCTGAGGCTTTTACCCACAGCGCCACCCGCGTCCCATCCTTCCTTTTGCATGTGACTAAATGTGGGCATGACCTCACCTGTCCAGGTAACGAAAGGACGAGTCACGCAGCACCCCTTTCTCTTTCTTCTTCATTAAGCTCTGCTGTGTTCAATAGGCTTAATTTACTCAAGTGCTTATGATACTATTTTATTCTCTCGTGCATTTTATATCTAGCTTCCTTTAGTAACATTTTCTTTCAAGGCAATTTTCGGGGGGGGGGGGACTTTGCTGCGTTAAATGCCCCTTCTGCAGCCTGACTCCCTTTGAAAAATGTTTTGACATTTTTAACCTGTGACTCCCCTGTCAATTACCGTACGTTGTTTTGAAGGCAGACTTTATATCTGACTTTCTACTGCAATGTTTTATTCTGGGTCGTTTTACTTTTTTAGTTTTCGTGCGAGGCGAACCACTTTGACGGTTTTCCTTGAAAATATAAATACAGGAAGGAAATGAATCATTAGAAGCCCCAACGATTTCTGCAGAGCTGGACAGCTCTTCTCAACAAGAGCTGACAGTATTGACCAAAGGACAGCATATGTCTATTAAATGGGAGAATAAATTGCACACACACACACACACAAATATATATACAAATATATGTACATACACACAGAGACATATTTCTATTCATTCCTGTCCTCCATCACTGGTTTCCGGAGCTTAAAAATCTAGGACTGTTTGATTTCTCGAATACCCATCACCTAGATCTACGCTTGTGTAACGTTACTTTAAGCAACTAAAACTTTCCATTGTAGCTTCTTAGAACCTGAGTCCGGAACTTAGTAACAGTTGTTGGGCATAGATTTCTCTGCTTATGGGACACCTAACGTCTCATAAGCTTGTTTCAATGGTCAGCTGGGAAAATATTTAACTCATTAGATGATCTAAGCTGGTGAGAAATGAAATCTCAGCTAATTCACCGGTTCATTGACAACTGGGCTGCAAACATACGCCTCCCTTCGGAGATGTCTTTAAGCCAGGCTCTTCAGAGTGCAGCAAAACCAGTCACAGAAATTTGACTGTATTGCTTTGCATTTGTGGACTTAAGCCTAGATTTTGTGTGTGTGAGATACTGAATTTCTTCTGCGTTTCCCGAATTGTTGCTTTTTGCCATCTTTTAAATTTACTGGCGTGTTCTACATTTCTGGTACGCCCCGCGGAGGACCTTAAGGGCCACAAATGACAGCCCTTTGGAGGTCCCGAGCCTCAAGGTGGTTAGATTGGTCTCAACTAGGGCCAGGGCCTTTTCAGTAGTGGCCCCGACTTGGTGGAACGCTCTGTCACAAGAGACCAGGGCCCTGCAGGACTTGACATCTTTCCGCAGGGCCTGCAAGACAGAGCGGTTCCGCCTGGCCTTTGGTTTGGACTCAGACTGACCCTTATGTTGCCCTCCCCTTATGATCTTGATCTATGGGCTACTTTTAAAATGAGGCTGCAGTTTAAATTAAATTGCATTTTAACCTGTATTTTAAATTGCCCCCCCCCCAATGTTTTTTACTGTAATTTTACTGGTGTTAGCCGCCCTGAGCCTGACTCTGGGGTATAAATAAAATTATTTATTATTATTATTATTATTTCACATATTGGACGCGGGTGGCGCTGTGGGTTAAACCACAGAGCCCAGGGCTTGCTGATCAGAAGGTCAGCGGTTCGAATCCCCACGATGGGGTGAGCTCCCATTGCTCCGTCCCTGATCCTGCCAACCTAGCAGTTCGAAAGCACATCAAAAAGTGCAATTAGATAAATAGGTACCACTCCGGCGGGAAGGTAAACGGCATTTCCGTGCGCTGCTCTGGTTCGCCAGAAGCGGCTTAGTCATGCTGGCCACATGACCCAGAAGCTGTACGCCAGCTCCCTTGGCCAATAAAGCGAGATGAGCACCGCAACCCCAGAGTCGGCTGCGACTGGACCTAACTGTCAGGGGTCCCTTGACCTTTTGATTGGCCACTTATGACCAAGTGGGGATACCCAGGTGCCAGGATGGTGCCTGAATTCTCCACCATCTGGAGGTGCAATGCCTGGGGATCCGTGGACCTTGCCTGTTTTCACAAACTAGCAATACATCCTGTCGAATTCTATCCGTTACATTTTACCTGCACAGTCCGAATGAATTTCAGGAAGCTAGCCCAACACTCGAACCACACCACCACCCTGACTTCCTAGAGTAACTTCTGCTATGGGGGCAGCTTTATAAATTAAGTAGGCCAAAAATATGGGGAAGCAAAAGGTCACTTAGAGAAGGATCTGAAATATTCCCCTCAAAGCTTGTTTTATTCTGGATTGTTTTATTTGATGATTTGCTGTGTTGCAAACTGCTCTAAGATTCCCCCTCCCCCGCCGCCTTTAAAATATAAAGAAATGAAATGAATTAATAGTAATTAACATAGCAAGCTCATTTTTTTAAAAAAATAGCACCTAGACCAGGGGTCAGCAAACCTTTTCAGTCCACTGTCCCTCTGACCTTGTGGGGGGCCGGACTATATTTTTTGGGGGGGAAGAATGAATTCCTATGCCCCACAAATAACCCAGAGATGCATTTTAAATAAAAGGACACATTCTACTCATGTAAAAACACGCTGATTCCCACACCGTCCGCAGCCCAGATTTAGAAGGCAATTGGGCCGGATTCGGGCCCTGGGCCTTAGTTTGCCTACCCATGACCTAGATATTCGGCTTTGGCGACTGTAGGCTAGGTTTAAAATGCCATTTAGCTTCCATATTCGAGTTTCTAATACTGGGCTACTAAACCACAATACTGAAAGTGAAAACACAATATTAAATGAACTCCTATGCCCCACAAATAACCCAGATACGAATTTTAAATTCATCAGCCACGACTGGACCTAATGGTCAGGGGTCCCTTGACCTTATTTCACATATTATGCCTTTCTAAGGCTCTGAATTGTGATGTTTGTTACAGTGGCGTAGCGTGGGTTGTCAGCACCTGGGGCAAGGCAAGTAATTTGCGCCCCCTAACCCGTGGATTTGCGCCCCCTAACCCGTGGATTTGCGCCCCTAACCCCCAGATGTTGCGCCCGGTGCGGCCGGCCCCCCTGCACCCCCCACGCTACGCCACTGGTTTGTTATTAAGCCTTGTTGGGCGCAGCCCCCTGTGGGAAAGAGGCAGATGATATGAGCAAACTCAAGCCATCGATCAAATCACCCAAGTTGCGCATCCAGACATTTCAGGCTTGGTGCGGCTGCCCAGCCATAGCTGTCAAGCGTCCCTTATTTGGCGGGACAGTCCCTTATCCCAGCGCCGTGTCCCGCTGCTGTCCCTTATTGATGATGTCCCTTAAATTTCCCGGGTTTCAAAGGAAGCAGCTCCTCTCCCTCCCTCCCTGCCGGCCAGGGAGGAGGGAGGCTCCAACTGGCTTGCTTGGCTGCCCGGTCCGCCCCCCTCCGGCCTCCTCTCACCAGCCTCGGCCCCCGGGAGCCCCTCCCCGCCGGGACTGGCGGGAGCCTCGGGCCCTTCCGCCACCATCCTCCTCGCGGCCGCCGAACTGAGCGTCTCTGCCTGGGGCCTCCCCTCTGCCCGTCACCGCCGTGCCCGCTAGGCCGTACTGCGGCTGCACCGCCGAAGGACCCAGATGAGATGGGCAGCCTGGCATGGTCTATGAATTGTTGAGGAGCCTTGAGAGGAGAGCGAGGGCAACCATAGAGGAAAGCAGTTCAGAGAGAGGAAGAGGAGGAGGCGGAGGCGGAGGTGTGGGCAGGTGTTCCAAGGGCTACAAGGGATGGACCGCAAGCGCTTCTCCCATAGATTTGGAGTGGTAGACTAGCATAGATGGTCTGATCTGCGGGTTTACTTCGGGCGCTATTCCCCCCCCTTCCTCCTGCCCCGCCTGATGGAACTGAGAGCTGCAGATGGAGCACGAGAGAAAAGATACAGAACTGCAGCAGCATCTTTGTAGCTTGGACTTCGTTTTGCGCGAAAAGTGGTTGCTGCTTGTAGTTATTTAATTGCAGTGTTTCATCAGCTGGTGTCTTGAGCAGCAACCTCTGGAAACGAAGGGCTAAAAACCTGCGCTGCTCTCCCAAATTATCTGGTTCCTTTTAACTGGTTGACTAAAATCCCTTATTTTCAAGGCTGCTGGTCCCTTATTTTCAAGGCTGCTGGTCCCTTATTTTCAAATCTGTAAGTTGACAGCTATGTGCCCAGCTCGCAAAGGACCAGCAACATGAGAAGGCGAAGTCCCAGTGGTACCCAGCTGCTTCTGATGGAGAGGGGATGGGGGGGGGGAACCAGTTCCCCCCCTCCCCATCCAGGCTCCCCAAAAACATGCCCCCCTCCCTCCCAACATTTCCATCCCCCACCCCTTCCTCCTTGTCCCCCACCCCCCTCCCCAACTCCCACTCACCAATCTCGCCCAGCACCGAGCTGCTAGCCATGGTCCTCTCCATACTTGCTGAGCCCGAACTACAACTCCCAGCAGCACCCAGAAAGAGGAGGAGGAGGGAGGCGGGAGGCGGGGAGGAGGAGGAGGAGCTCCTAGGCACTCCTGGGTCCCTCTTTTCTGTTGTTTATGATGGTGCACCAGCGACATGGGGGTGGGGATCCAACGTCAGCCGGGAGAGGTGTCGCAAAGGATGCTGGGAGTTGTAGTTCCGCGCGCAGCTCCCGGGACGCCGGTCCTTATGTAATACTGCAGGGGGGGAAATGGGATTTTGCAAGCGCGCGCCGGCGGCTCTGAGCAGGCTGTGGCTTCCTCTGGTCGAATAATCCGATTTCCCCCCTTTTTTGTTTGTTTCTTAGACGCATTTTCTTTATTTCTTCCCCAAATGCGTTGGTCTGCCTTCCAACGTGCAGGTTTTGCTGCATGGATACGTGGCAGGAACGATATATCCCGTTAATAATGCTCGGTGCAACGAATTCAGAATATCTTTTTTTTTTTAAAGATGTTTATTAAGAATTTAAAAATTGCAAAAAACATAAAAAAGAAACACAATAAAAACATACATTACAATACACCTAAAATAAAGAAAAAACATAAACAGCAAAACAGCAAAAAAGAAAAAAAAACATTAGAACACATCCAATATTTCATATCTTTACCTTTCATTTACTTGTTTCATCGACCTCCTCACACCTCCCTTTTTGTATTCTAGTTCAATTTACTATTTCAGCAAATTCTTTCCATCTTTCTCAATTTTTTCTGTAATATCTCATAACGGTCTAACCTCTAATTTTTTCCTTTTGGCCCATTGTCAATCAGCTTTTACTTAATTCTTTATGACATTTCTGCTAAAACCATATAACTTCATTCCAACATCCTTCTAACATTCATTGATTTTACAATGTTTTTGAAAATATACTTTAAATTTTTCCAATCTTCTTCCACCGACTCTTCTCCCTGGTCTCGGATTCTGCCAGTCATTTCCGCCAGTTCCGTGTAGTCCATCACCTTCATCTGCCATTCTTCCCAGGTGGGTAGATCTTGCGTCTTCCAGTACTTTGCAATGAGTATTCTTGCTGCTGTTGTAGCATACATAAAAAAAGTTCTATTCTTCTTTGGCACCAATTGGCCGACCATGCCCAGGAGAAATGCCTCTGGTTTCTTCAGGAAGGTATAAATACCTTTTTCATTTCATTATAGATCATCTCCCAGAATGCCTTAATCTTTGGGCATGTCCACCAAAGGTGAAAGAATGTACCTTCAGTTTCATTACATTTCCAACATTTGTTATCGGGCAAATGATACATTTTTGCAAGCGTGAAGGATTGAGCGTTGACAGAATATCGCGATCTGGGTTTGGCTGCTGACATCCTAGGGTCCACAATTCAAGAAGGAAGATTCTGCTCTGAACCATAAGTGTCAACGTTCAATCCTTCCCAGGGAAATCTGGGAATTGTAGCTCTCTGAAGGTAGTAGGGGGTCTCTTAACTCTCAGCCCCCTTAACAAACTACAGCTCCCATAATTCCTTGGAAGAGTCCACGAGTGTTGTCATAGCGCTTTAAATGGATGTTGCAACTATGACCTAAATTGAAACAAATATGATCAGAACTGAACCCAGTGGTACCTTGGTTCTCAAACTTAATCCAATCCGGAAGTCCGTTCCAAAACCAAGGCATGCTTCGCCATAGAAAGTCATGCAAAACGGATTAATCCGTTCCAGACTTTTAAAAACAACCCCGAAAATAGCAATTTAACATGAACTTTACGATCTAACGAGGCCATTGATCCATAAAATGAAAGCAATAAACAATGTACTGTACTATAAAACAAATAAGACGGTATTGTAGATGATAAAAATAAAAAATTTATTATTTTCTTACCTGCACTGATGATAGTCATTGGACGGGGGGTTTTTTTTTTAATCCATTTCCGCAGTCTCACAATCAATCAATCAATCAATCAGTAGTTGAATTGGGTTTCACACAGTCACAAAAACAAATGAACCGAAAAAGCCTCAAAAACGCAAAATAAATAGCAGAAACAAAAGCACCAAACTTAATCTGTTCCGGAAGTCCGTTTGACTTCTGAAATGTTCGAAAATCGAGGCTCAGCTTCTGATTGGTGCAGGCGTCCCAGAAACAATAGCTGACAGCCACATCGGACGTTCAGCTTCCGAAAAACGTTTGAAAACCGGAACACTTTCTTCCGGGTTATTGGCGTTTGGGAACTAAGGTGTTTGAGAACCAAGGTACCACTGCATGAGGAAAGTGGATTAGTAGCTGAATAATGTTCAAATGTAGATATTGTGTGTGTGTGTGTGTGTGTGTGTGAGAGAGAGAGAGAGAGAGAGAGAGAGAGAGGCTGTTGATTATAAAGACACCTGTTGCAAATAAACCACCTATTTCCACACAGGCTGCTGTTTATTGGTGCAGTTCTTTCAGGCTGCATGTGAGCCAGTTAACCAAACCAGGTGCAGCCCCTAAATGCCATTAAGGAAGTGCTAACGAGGTCTGTAAAAAAATAATAATGATTCCTTAGCATCACTTGGAGACCCAAGGGAAATTGAGTCTAACCCTGCAATGTCCTCCAGCCTGTGGTTCCAGTTCCAAGGTGTGTATGTGGGGAGAGCATGTCAAGAGTGCAGTTTATTATGACAACCCTGTAAATATCCAATCTAGGGTTATTATCCCTCTATCCCATGGGGCAGGGAAGGAATAGTGGTAGCCAGAGTAACCTGAGGACTGGGGCACCCCGTAAATGTGATTCAGTTTTAACAATCCCCTTTTGTTGATTTTGGGGGTCGGTGTGGATTACAACAACCCTGTATGGTGGGCCAGTATAATTATTCTTACTATGGCAAAGATGTGGGGCGGTAGGTCCCCCAAAAATATACAATTGCAAATTCGGGAGGCAAGGCTGCATGTCTTCTCTGCTGCGTTTGTTGTCACCCTTGCTCATGAGTAGGCAAACTGAGGCTTGGGGGCCGCATCTGGCCCAATCGCCTTCTAAATCCGGCCCCCGGATGGTCCGTGAATCAGCGTGTTTTTACATGAGTAGAATGTGTGCTTTTATTTAAAATGTACCTCTGGGTTATTTGTGGGGCCTGCCTGGTGTTTTTCACATGAGTAGAATGTGTGCTTTTATTAAAAATGCATCTCTGGGTATAAAAATTCGTTCATTTATTTCCCCAAAATATAATCCGGCCCCCCACAAGGTCTGAGGGACAGTGGACCGGCCCCCGCTGAAAAGGTTTGCTGACCTCTCTGTTTAAACTTTCCACTGTTGCTTTAAGACGACACCTTACCTACCGTAATTGTTCAGTGCTCCTCTAAAATGTGGGGTTCTTATTGCGCATTTGTGACTTTTTAGGATGCTGCAAATCACCTGAGATATTATTTTTTGAAATATATGAATGACAGGCTATATATGTCATATTCCATTTATATGTGCATCTGTGTATATAACTGCCATTTATATATTCTAAATTTTTATTATAGTTTCAGCTGCTTGCTTGCGTACACCTTGACCAGCTTTAGGACCTCTTCGGCATCGCTTCCAGGGAAAAGGCTAAAAACATGAACAGGAGGCAGATCTGCGTCACCGGATTTGGTCCTTGCAACCCAGCCTTCTTTGCCAACCTGGTGCCCACCAGATGTTTCGCCCTGCAACTCCCATCAAATCATCATTTGATGGAGGGCACCAGGTTTGGCAAAGCCTGAGGACACGGTTTCTTTTTCAGTCTCCCAATTTCTCTCGATTTTTATTATTCTGGCGTGCGCTTATTCCCCCCCCCCAATTTTTTTATTAAGTTTTCCACAATTATAACAAACATAAAGAAAAGAAAAATAAAGAAAACCCCACAAAAGAAAACACAAGACGGTATTAAACAAGAACAACAAAAAGATGTAATCTTAAAAACCCAATTTCTTTTACATTGTTAATTGACTTCCCCAGATCCCTCCCTTCAGAAATTCATTCTATCTGCATGCAACAGCTCTCCAAAAACATTCTTAGTTAATTCCAGCAATTAACTATCTGATTCTCATTTCTTACTATTCTCAAGCTAATTTACTTACAGTCAAATCCTAATTTATTCCTACGCCTACTTGGTACTTTCAGGTGATTTCTAATTATTTATATTAGAATATTTATTCAAGTAATCCTGAAATTTCTTCCAATATTCTGGCGTGCACTTAAAAGCCAGCCGCCACCGGCAATCCCGGTTGCAAAGCGACCTTTCTCCTTGCAATCGGGGCTGTGCAAGGCGCTAGTCCCCAGTTTTCCCGAGCGATGCTTGCTTTGCTTGCTTGCACTTTTCTTTTTCATTTCTCCTTGCAATCGGGGCTCTGCAAGGCGCTAGTCCCCACTTTTCCCGAGCGGCGCTTGCTTGCATTGCTTTTCCTGCATTTTTTATTCTTAGCAAAGATTTGACGCGCGTGGGGAGGAAAAGCAAAGCTCGTCCCCCGTTTTCCCGAGCGATGCTTGCTTTGCTTTGCTTGCTTGCACTTTTCCTTTTCATTTCTCCTTGCAATCGGGGCTCTGCAAGGCGCTAGTCCCCAGTTTTCCCGAGCAGTGCTTGCTTTGCTTTGCTTGCTTGCACTTTTCCTTTTCATTTCTCCTTGTAATCGGAGCTCTGCAAGGCGCTAGTCCCCACTTTTCCCGAGCGGCGCTTCCTTGCACTGCTTTCCTTGCATTTTTTATTTTTATCTTTTGCAAAGATTTGACGCGCGCGTGGCGTGGCACGGGGAGGATATGCAAAGCAAGCAGGAAGTTCAAAGCCTGCTGGAGGCATCCGACTCTTTCCGGGTCAGTTTTCACTTTCTTTCTGTCGCCCTCCCTCGCCACCTTCCTCCCCTCCCCTCCCTTCCCTCGCTTGCAAAACGAGGAATATTTTTTCACTTCCTGGGGTCGGCGGATGAGCTGCTCCAGCCTCCCACCTCCTCCGAAGGAGCCCGGAGTCGGACATGTTTCTCTTTTTCTTCCACGAAAGCGCTTTTTCCTCCTTTTTCCAAGGGGGGCTTTGCAGATCGGGCTCCCCCCGCGCGTCTTAAGACAATAGGAGGAGGCGGCGGCGGCGAGGCCATCTTTACGCGCGATCGTGCGCTTTTGCAACTGGCCTCTCCAAACGCCCGGA